ACACACACACACACACACACACACACACACACACACACACACACACACACACACACACACACACACACACACACACACACACACACACACACACACACACACACACACAGTCAATATCACCTATTGCACATTTCTCAAACACATCTGATCTGATAACAGTAAGCACATTGGTGAATCCCTGCTCTTTACAACTGTCCTGATCTCCTTCCTTTCTGTTGTTGTTTATTTCCCAGCTCACCTGGTTGTCCTCCAGCGATTTCTCATTGTTGTTGTTGATCTCCGCGGCCCTGGCCGTGTTGTTTACGGCTTCGTTCAGGGCGTCTCGCAGATCCATCATCTCCGAGTGGAAGCGTGCCAGGCGGTCTTTGATAGTCTTGGCCATGTCGCTGTTTTTTCCCTGACGATTGGCCAACTCCTTGTTAACACGATCCAGCACTGGGAGAGGACACAAACACCCAGTTTGAGGATGTGATTACACCCGCTATACAATTCATTTTTGTCAGGTTGTATTAAGTCAGTTTAGTTAGTTTTAAAAAGAATTACATTTTGAAAAAACTGACGTACTTTGAAAAGTGAAATCAGTATCAACATGTGATATATGCATTCATTAGTCTCTTTTCCTTTCAACTATAGAGTGCTGAGACAAAATAAGTCCTGACATTAGTTGCCCTTTTAGCACTGCCCTTGTCTAAAAGTCATGATTTTTTAAATTGGGTTTCAAGTGAAATGTCTGAAATAAGAAATAAATGTTATTGAAAAAATACTTTAGTAAATACAGTACCTCACTTGTGAATCCAATTATCCAACCACTAAGAGAAGTACAGTATCTTATGGACTTTATTGTCGAGGGAGCAGGACAACGGTAACTTACATGTAGTCCTAAAAATATATATAATCAATACAGCACTCTTTTGACATAACATAAAAAAAGGCCAAGTTGTAAAGATTGTCTTCAAGAGTGGACTCACATTTCTGCGCCTCGGTCTTCTCCCTGTCAGCTATCTTCTTCTGCCCCGCGCAGCTCCTGAACCTCATCTCCCTCATCATGGCCTGCACCTCCCTCATCTTCCTCTCCCTCTCAGTGTCGTCCTGGTACGCCTCGGTGTTATTCAGCAAGGAGCGGTTCGCCATCATCAAGATTTCTATGGAAAGGCATCACATTAAATCAACCAATCAAATGGTCTGTAGGTTTTGTGGGAAGAGACAGTTAACACTCCTCTTGACACACAGAGATGGTTCAGATGAAATGTTAGATATTCTACTGGCTCCTAAAGTCTCTTTTTGTATAGCTACGTTTGATACATTTTTGGAGTCCTACCGTTTATATCCATGGTTATGTTGTTGATAAAGGACAGCAGGTCTTCCGCTCTCTGGTGTGTTTTAATGGTGCTGTTGCCCAGGGAACCCACTTTGTAGGTCACCGCTGTCGCCTGAAAACACCAAAGCAACATAACACTTAGTTCTATTTAACAAACACACACATTAATAATATGATTAGTTTAGACTGTTAAAGGAGGTTCTGGGTTAGTGTTCAGTTTCTGATCAAAAGTAGAGTGAATTGTCGCTGAGCAAGTTCGTCTGTTACAACAAGAAAAAAGATAGAATTATTATTTTCTAAATAAATACCCCACCTTGTCCTTCAGCTCAGTGATGTCATCGTCGATATTAGCGATCTCAGCCTCGAGCACGTCGGCCCGACTCCGGCTGTCATCCAGCGTACTGCTGTAGTTCTCTATGGCGCGCTGGAATCATGGGAAAACACGTTTAATTATTTATTTATTTTTTATGTTATTAATAACTGCATATCTATCAATCTATGTGTCCTTTGATGCCAATATTTTAATACGTTTTATTTATTAATATTTTATTTTATTTTATTGTTTTTAAATCACACGACCGCCCTTCAAGCCAATCAGAATCGAGCTGCCGCTACTGAGAGTGAAACTGAGTATCTGCTCAGCTTTTGGAGCAAGTGAGAGCTAGTGAATATTTCGCTCTGCAGCTGGATGAGTGCACGGATGTAGCAAATATTGATGTTTATATATATGAATATAAATATGTTAATTGTTAATATTACTGTTGAATATTATATATAATATTATTAATAATGCATAAGTAGCTTTTAAAAATGCAAAACATATATGTTAATTGTTCATATTACTGTTCAAAATTATATAATATTATAAAGACAGAAATCACTTTAAAAATGCTTTAAAAATATGTTTACTGTTGATAT